CAAATTTCAACGAAAACATGCTTTATTGGGATTCCATATGGTGCTGAGACATCAGACAACGCTCTCTGTTTTTTGTTTTCCAAAGCCAATAAAGAAGGGAAGAAACAGATGAAGTGAAGAGATAAAAAGAACGTTGTTTTAAAAGTACAATGCAATAGACATCCCTTCAATGCTCTGTTCTATTTGTCTGCATCAAAGTCATCAACCTCAGCTACCTCTAGGCCGTAGGCTCTTACTCTCTTCCACACATGCCTGATGCCACCTATAGCACGGTAGAGAAAAGCTACAAGAAAAGTGTAGCTCAACTCGGATCCTGATTTTTTATTTAATTTTTTTTATAAATTTTAAAATAATTAAAAATTTATATAATTATTAATTTTAAAATCTCTAAAATTAATTAAAATATACATAAACTAATCTAAAAATTTATATTAATAAATAAATAAATAAACAACAAACTTTCATTGAAAACTCGAGGTCTAAACTCTTTTTTTTTTTCAAGCATCCTGTTAGTTTATATTTTAATAAATACTAAATCATTATTTTTCAAATCTATACACACGCATACATGAAATTAAAAGATCAGAAGTAAAAAATTAATAAAACATAACAAGTCTATAACCCATTATTAAATTAAATGCCTGAGGACCGGAGCTACATCCATGACTGTAATACATGGTTTGAACTCGCTTTGCATTTCCAGCGTGGCTTCAGCTGAGAAATTCTACATTATTTATTAATAATTTGCACCAATCATGTTTGGCATAATTGATCAAAGAGAATGGTGGAGATCCGTTAATAACAAAGAAAATGAAAGTGGTAAGACTAGTGTGTTCTGGCTCTGTTAATTTCTAATAAATAAAAATCTACAAAATTGGTTTTTTAATTGTTATTTTATTTTTAAATTATGTATTAATAAAATTATTTATAATTTTATGATCTATTTTTCCAAATTAAATTTACTTTGTATTTGTGTTTTTAATAACCTTACTTTCTCTCTCTCCTACTAAACCAAGATATTTTTAATAGCCTGGTGGGTTAGCAATTAATTACGACATAAGAAGGTGGTCCACTTGAGAATTATTTTATCTATTAGCAATAATTTCACTGCTAGAAACATCACAGTCATCGAATTAATCTCCAACCCTGCCCATGTGTTAAATGGGTCCTACAAATAAATAAGTCTAGGATATTTCAAAAAGAATTAAAATAAAAAAGTAAATTTTAACTAAAATTATTTTTAATCCCAAGGGAAAACGCGCCCGTTTTGTGAAATGTGCATGAAGGGCTTTTGTCTTTTTGCTTTAAATAACTGAAGCTGACACGCACACCACTTGCCCCCCATTTCAGCCTCTAGTGATGTTGATACTTATATGTCTGTCCTACGCTATTATTTTAATGTAAAATCCACATCAGCAGCCATTTGGGCCCTACCATCGTGGGCTTTGTGCGTTTTCAGATGAGTCCAAAATTCATTTTTGTGGGCTCCACAGTATATGATTGCACCTCGAACTCGAAGAGGTGCGCCCGGCACGGATTGGCATCTTAATTATTCTTATCCACAATCCCATTTACAGACATGGAGATTGGCAGCCTTCCTTCTATTTTTATTTTAATATGTTTTTAAATAAAAAATAATCTAAATTATAATCAATTACTACAATTCCAAACCCAATAAATACCTGTACTCGTCTACACGAGGCCCGTCTCGCTGCACCGCTTTCTCGTGAGGTTAAACATTTTTTTTATTTTAATTAAATATTTTTTAATATACTAATATTAAAAATATTATTATAACATATTTTAAAATAAAAAATAATTAACGAATTAGTCCTTGTCCCTTGCTCAACATTTACCTCCATGGATTCAGGTAGGTTTATTAATAATTGATATAATTTAAATAATTTATAAATATAAAAATATGAATGAACTATAGCTATCAGTCTCGCTTTTAATTTTGACGCGATATATCAATTTTCAGTACATAAGAGTTTCTTTAAGAAATATTTTATATTCACCATTCAAAATTTATTATTACAGATGATTCATGATAAAGACAAGCTAAAATTACAAAAAAGCCCGTGGACACCTTTTTAAATTACAAATGGCTATCAGTTAAACCAGTTAATATCATACGTGACAATATATTTGATGCTTGGCACCGTGAGATTTATTTTATTTTATTTTATGCTTTATTAAATTACAAATTGAAGGGGCCTGGTAATTATCTTTCTCCGTACTGGCTTTGATGGTTTTGAGCTTACTGTAGTTGTATTCATTTTTTAAAATATTTTTTATTTAAAAAATATATTAAAATAATATTTTTTATTTTTTAAAAATAATTTTTAATATTATTTTATCAAAATAATTTAAAAATATTAATTTAAAATAAATAAAAAATAAAAAATTTAATTTTTTTAAAACATTTTTAAAGTACAAAACTAAATAAAAGCTAATATGCCAAATAAAGTCAATGTCAGAGGATAAAATGTGCATACCTAAAGGAAGAGAAAGGGCAGACTTTCTTGATTTTAAAACTCCTCCTCCACCGTGCAACTCCGGTCACTGGAATACCAAGTCTTTTTGACTTTTTGGTGTCGACAATCTTAAATAGTTATCTTAAAATAATTTTTTAAAATACAAGATAAATAATTATATTTAAATTAAAAAAAAAAGAAAAAAAAAAGACCAACTAGGAGAGGGAATTACAAACCAACTAGAAAATTTATAGAAAATCTTGACTAATAATATATGTGTTTTATTTGAAGGTCTTAGTCTTCCTAATCTTTTGTGCCGACAAAGGTTTAACCATGAGAGACATAGAAACTCTAATATCTTCTAGAAAAATTACAGTCTCATCTAAATCTAATGATCACATAAACACGCTTGTAAATATGAAAATTACATATGAGAAAAAAATCTCATGTATTAACAAAATTGTTTTAATTAAAAATACCTAAAAACACTATAGAGATCTCAATAAATCCATTTTTAGTCTAAAATCATCATTTAATTGGTTAAAAAATAAAAATAAAAATTAACTTAAATTTAAAAACATTTTTAAGTATCAATTTACTTTTTTTGATAAGATAAAGATTAAATAATACCTTAATAAAACTATTTTTATTAAATAAAACCTGTTAAAACAAGATGAAACTTTTTTGTTGCTAGAATGTAGCTGAAAGATATTTTTTTTCATTGTTTTTGATAAGTTTTTTTAAATTATAAATTATAAAATAAATAAAATAAAATTTTTGATAAGAACAAAAATTTAATATTAGAAAAAGAACGAATTTAAAAAATAATAATTATAATATTATAATGAAAAAAAAAACACTCAACGTTTCTCCACACAATTCAGAATGATTCTTTTGAGCGTGTTTTGTTTTTTTCTTAATTTTAATTTTAATGCGACAATATCTTGCAAATTGGAAAACCATGCTTAGCAATTAAGGCTGGTCTGGTTTACCTAGTCGTCTGGAAAATGACGCCTTAACTAGGTGGAGTGGGAAATCAACCATGTCCCCATTAACAGTAGTCATTTAAAACAATCTTCTAGCACGTTCAGTAATTTAATTTACCTGCACGCATGGTCAGATTCTTCGAGGCTGGCCAGTGAGAAAACATAAATGTTTTTTGATCGATTTATTTTAAGTGTTATCTTATTTCACTCATTATAATATTTCATTCAGTAATTATTTATTCTCAACTAGCCTATACTTTAATTAAATTCCTTTCATTTTTAATGATTTTCAAAATAATCCTTTGTTTAAAAAATACTTTTTAAAAAATTAAATTATTTTATTTTTTATTTTAAATTAATATTTTTTATGATTATTTTGATATGTTGATATTAAAGATAATTTTTTAAAAAATAAAAAATTATTTTAATATATTTTTAAATAAAAAATATTTTTAAAATAATGTAAAAAATTACGTGTATATATTTGAACTCCAAATCTTCGACCAATGAAAATAAAGATGCATTGCAAAAGTTTTACCTTCCTTCCTACTCACGCAATTAGATTTTCAAATTAATGTCGAAAATATTTGGTTATTTATTATTATCCGAAATTAGAAACCCTTTAATTATATCCTTTTTTATCTTATGAAATAATCAGACATACTAGATAACTCCAGTTAATTTAATAATTTTGTTATGAATTTTTTTATTTTATTATATAAAAATAAAAGTAAATACTGATAAAATTAAACATCAATTAAACATTAGAATATTTGGCTAAGATGACGTAGCCATTCAAAAATAAATAATAAAAAATAATCTAAAATTAATAAATGAAATTAAAATAAAAAATTTAATTTTTAAAATTGTTAAAAAAAAAGTTAGCTGGCCTACTAGCTTGGATGCTCGCGACTCAGGTGATTGGTTTTAAGCATAATCTTTGATTTATCTTTGGCCGGCTCATTTGGCTAGAAACTTCGGTCTCTGACTTTCTGACCATCAAGACTTATTCTCAGTATTTTTTTTTTTTATTCTCAGTATTTTTATTTTAGTGTGATGCAGCTATAATAATTTAATAACTATTCCGATCTCAGAATTTAAATCTAAAAAGTAATTAGAGCAGAAACAAAACTATGTTTTACCAAACCAACCACTAAGATTTAAATAATTTATTAAAAACAATTCTCTATAATGACGTGGAAAATTAAAATTAAAAACAATTCTCTATAATGACGTGGAAAATTAAAAAAATATAGCGCAAACAGAACGAATTAACAAAAGCAAGTAACCAAACCATAAATAAAATAACACTACAATGCAGCTCTGTTCTGCTCTGCACCCCACGCGCTTGTTTCGTTATTTCCCCAAACTTGCCACGCCATCCCTCTCTCTATCTCTCTCTCTCTCTCTCTCTTCTTTTAACCACTGCGTTTCCGCGGAACTCTTTCGCTGGCAATGGAGATGACAGAGACAACGACGATCTCTTAGCGGCAAAGAATCAGATCCGAATTCCTTATCTCTCCAATTCCCCATTTTACCCTCCCCCTCCCCCGCCTTCCTGCTCCTCCTCTGACTAACTATATATAAACGTGTCGAACCTACTAGCGAACCTTATTAGGACTCCACTTTCAGGCCACGCAAGCTCCTCTATTCCAAAGACACGAGAACCTCCTCCTCCTCCTCCCCCGCCATCTGGTTAAAATCGAATCAATATAATCTGGCGGTTCGGTTACAGAAGTTGTCTTTGTCTCTGTTTTTTTTTTTTCCATGTGCTTGACGTTGGTTATTGTGTTGATGTTTTGATGATGATGATGATCTCATTGCCGTCCTTCAATTACCATAACCAATGATTTCCTCTTCTTCTTGCTCTCGCCTGTTATGAAGTTCGCCGGTGATTCTTTTCTCTCCTCCTCTCTTTCACTATTTTCATGGAATTCTCATCCTCATTCTCAAGGTCCTTTTTTACATTATTTAATTATATTGTGTGTTTAATTTAATGAATGGAATTAATCCAAGGCTAATAATAAGAAATGCATGTGTTACTGTGCAGTGAATTTTGATTTTGGACCAAATTCTAATGGGGAAAGCTGATTCTTCTAAATGCGTTTTTCCCTTGACAAGTCTCCAGATTGGGTATTTCCTGCCTTTTATCATCAGTTCCTGTAACTTTCATGTACCTCAAACTTGTTTGAATTTCATCCGGGAAAGAACTCGGAATTTTCGATTTATGTTTTTTTAGTAAAAAGGAAAATCTTGTTATTTTTAGGAAAAAAGGTTATTAAATTTGATTGTTTGTCTGATATACTTGGAATGCCAGTCAATCATTGATTCGTTATTCCAAACTTGAAGTGTGAGTTTTGTACATGGTATTATGCTTTTGCAATTCTAATAGAGTACTTTCTTTCTAGGTAAAATGGAATAAAAAGGGGAAAAGTGGAGGAAAAAGTGTGACAAAATTAATATTACAATTTCAGATTAAGAAGCATATGAATGAGAATCTACCCTGGTGACTTTTCATTGCTATTTTGGAATCTTGTTCTCTTGTCGAACACACCAGTGTTTTTGGAAGACATGATCAACATTGGCCAACATGGTAGTCTATGGTCTGTAATTAATTTGTTTTGATAGTCTTTTGTATTTTATTTGATGTAGGAATAAATTTCACTTGTCCCTAAATGACTTCATGCAACTTTTAGCATGACTATCAAAACCAATGTTTTTGGGTACCCGTCATTGTCGGTGTGTTTGATCGCATCTAAGTACATGATGGATCTGCCTGCTTTGAAAATGCTGCAGATTTTTTTTTTTAATTCTTTCCTTTTTTAGAATATATCATATGGTTGGGAACCTTGTAGTGTTAAGAGCATGGGAGGGCTGTTAGTGTTTTAGTGTGTTGAGTATGGTTACTGAATGCTAGCTCTTTTTGATCTTTTTTTTGCCTCCTGTGATTTTAGAGACTTGCAGTCTTATCTCTCAGATCTTAGCCTTTTCATTGCGTTTGAAAGTCGCAAATTATATATTTTGGTGGACAATCGGCCATGGCTGAGAAACCTAGGTTCACACCCAGCTCACTTGTGGCAATTGATGGTTACCAAGGTTGTTAACTCTTGAATTAGCTTTGTCAAAAACTCTCCTTTTCAAGTCTGCCCTTAACCATCTGTGGTTTTAATGTCATTTTCTTATTCATCTACAGTCCAGGTTATCTCCTTTTGCAAACACTAAGGCAAAGAGGGGGAGAAAAGAAGGACAGGGGGCTTCTTCTCAGTGTAATCCTAGTAAATCAAAGAAATATGAGAGATGGTTCTCATTGATTGAAGTGGCAACTTTGTCCCGGAAGAAGGGTTTGCCACCTGTGAATAAATTAAGGAACTCTTTGCTCTTAAGCAGTGAATTGCACAGGACGCTTTATGGTTTTATTGTCTTTGAAGTTGCATGGAAAGATGTGCGGGGTATTAACTACTTAAACGAGCTTCAGGTACTGCCTTTCTAAATGTTCCATATATTTTTTGATAGTGAGCATTGTTTTGGTCAACGATTATCATTTCAATTGCAGACTGACACATCTCTGGCTATCGAAGCTAAGATTATGCGAAGATGGGAATTTGATAGTGTAGCTCAAGCTGCAAGTTGTTTATCTTCATGGTTCTCAGGAACTCTCTCTGAGCTGCTAAAATTGAAAGATTTTCTGGATTCTGCTACAGGTATTCTGTTGCACGCATGATTCCTTATTTTACTATAGTGGAAGAAAGCAACTATCTTTGTTGAATTCTGGATTGGTAAGAAGGATATGATGATGAATACGGATAGATATTGGGGCATGCCTCCATTTGTGTTGAAACAAACTGCCTGCTGGATGTAGGTGGTGACTGATTTTGATAACTTCCTTTATCTGGTTCACCATTGCAAGGATCATGCCCCATGTGGATAAATTAACATGTTAACTGAGAGGACTGTCTTTTATATTCATTTGGAGATCGAGGAATTTTTTTATATGAAATGCTTACAGTATAGTCACTTTTCATAGAGAAACGCAGTCTGTGTTCCAATAGGTATGGTCATAAATTGTAGAACTTGTGGCATCCAAATTGATGTGTGATGGTTGTAAAATGCATAGTTTTGTGTCTGGAAAGTGAACAGTGGGGTTAGTATGCACTAGGTCTGAAGCTTTTCCTTTAGAATCTGGACTTTTTGTAGAGGTAGTTCTTTTCACATTGGAAAATAAATGAAGTACAAATTTCCAATGGTTTGGTTCACCACCATCACCATCGTCTTTCTGTTTAGATGGTATTCATGAATAAAATCTCAATTTAGGTCAATAAGTAGGACCTTTGCGGGCATTAACAACTGACATTTGATCCTTGATTATTGCATCTTTTGCCAGTTCAGGTGCAGTGCAACCTAACTGACATGTTAACATCTTGCTGGTGTAATTATTATGTTGATATATTGATGGGGCTACGTATTTCTTTTCAGTAATGAGCTTAAAATTACCATGTTTAATGTTGCCTGAAATTTTCAGGAGATACCTTTTATGATGCTGAAGAAAATTTCTCAACGACATCCCCTATTGATGATGATGATCTGAGGATGGAAGATAATTCTTCATACTGCCTTGGTGGCAGTTTTGATGTATGTCCTGGAACCCTGGATGATAAAGCGAGTGAGCCACACACTCCACCACCCACTGGGCCTTATAAGAGAAGAAGAGTGATGAAGTCTGTTGGAACTGGGGTTGAAGTTGATTGTTATACTGAGGAAACACCATGTGGACATGAAGACTTCACAGACAGCTCAGAGACTGATGCCAGTATTTGTGAAAATGCTATTGAAGCTAAGCAATACAGGGATGTTTTGATTTTGTTTAGGTTCAATGATCATGACCTGCCATTTAAACTAAGGCAAGTGGTAATGTCTGACCTGCGGTTACTAACTTTATTGGAAGCTGGGCTTCCATCTTGGGTTATCTTTCTTCAGTCATATCCAGGGTTTTGCCATCTTTATCGTCCTTGGATGTGCCCTCTAGCAAGAGCTTTGTATGTGTTAATCTCAATTATCACTGTTCTCATTGGATTTTATGACTTGTACAAAAATGTTCCTGTTCTGAAGGCAACTGCATCTAGTTTGTGTGGACCGCTTTTTGACTGGATAGAGACTTGGGAGATGGTTTCAAGGATCAAGTATCTGGGAACAATGCTATTTCTACATAACTTTGAGAAAGCTGTTACTTGGTTTCTGATGGTCACACGCACCACTAGATCCTTCTTTTCAGTTTTCACGCAGCCACTGATTGAACCGCTTGCTGAGATCTTAGGCTTTCTTCTTCCAGCGTGGAATATGTTCATTGAAGTAGCAGAGAGCTCATATTCCTTTGTTTGGATTGTGATTGAATCATCTTGCAGTGTGTTAGGAGACCTACTAGAGATTTTTGCATGGCCTATATGGTTTCTCTGGAGCATTGGTAGGTTCTCAGCTGTTTTGGTTTATATGCTACTTTGTAAGCAATACTCTCTTATTTTATAAGGTCGTACAAATTCCATTATATGTTTGTTGCTTTTTGTGCTGCAGCAACTTCCATCATATATCCCATATTCTGGACTGTTTGGGAAATACTTTATGCTCCGATTCGCTTGGTCCTTGCACTAGCTGGTTTTGTGGCTTTCACTTGGGGGTGGATATCAGAAATGATTGGGGATCTTTGGCAATCTGTAAGTGGAATATTCCAGCTTGCTTCAGTTTCTAAGGCAACAGTGAGTACATATGAAGTTTCAGTGTGGCGTTCGCTCTGGAATGACCTTTTTTCTCAGGTTGGAAGACACTGTAATTGCTAATTGCATTTTGATCACAAGTATGCAATTATGAAGTCAATGGTATTTATGTTTGTAACTTGTTCAGGTTTTTCGTGCTGTTAGGAGTATATTAAATGGTTTTGTTGCCTTCTTCACAGCCTGCAACAGGCATCGCCTAAGGTAATTTCACATCAGTGAGAAAAAAAACCCAGCTTCTATATGCTTTATTTCTGGATAATACGGTGCCTGATTATCATTGGTTTGTGTATAAAATATCTGAATTTAAGCCAGTATAATGGATAAAGAAAGAGATTTTCAAGACCATTCTCCTCAGATCCAAGACAGTTGCATTGAGATTTCATTCTTTTGTACTTTTATGAAGATATTATATATCCTTGCAGAACAATTCATAAAACAAGAAATATTTCAAGGATTTAGCTAAGATTCCCTTCTAATTGCTGTGTTGGAATTATCATTGAATTTTTCATTGCTTTCTAGCCTACAGATTAATTGATAAGCTCTGCTTCTTACTATATTTTTCTTTTCTGATGTGCTGGTGTACAGCATTTATAATCACATACAGGATTTCATCCAGAGATTACTTGGCCAGGCGCCAAGGTCACAACCATCAGATTATAGGAACAGTAGGGTGACACCTGAGGCTCGAAGTCTGGTGGTAAGTTTTCAAAATGCTTTCTGATGTTATGAATCTAACATCCAATGATAGATTTGTTGCATAAAAGATGTGATTTTAGAAAGAGGAAAGAAAAAAGGTTTATAGAAGAGGAAATCAGTAAGGATTATTTGAGAGTTCCAGGAGATACTGTGGTTTATACCTGAGGCATCAATGGCTAGATGCAACTAGTGTTAGTAATTGTCTTATTAGTCTCTCCACATCACCGGTAGAAAAAAATTCAGCGCTTCTTATAATGGTGTCAATGTCTAGACTTCAGTTCTCTGCTTTAGATTCAGCTTCCTAATTGCATATTTTTTAGCCTGATAGTTGCTTCTGATTTTGCAGTCTGAAGGGAGTAGGAAAATTCACATCAGATGAAGCTGAGCAATTTTTTGGGGGTCCAAAGGAAACTATACAAATGGATGCAGAGCCAGTCTTGCGCTGCAAAATATATTTGACGACAAAAAAAAAAAAACTAACTGCTAAAACCAAAATGGGTTGAACAGGGCAGCAGATTCTGCAAATAGTTACAGAAGTACCATAGAAAGAGCTTTATTCTTTTGTTTGTTTCGTGTTGTTTGAATTTCTTTTTCATGCTCTGCAATTATATGTAAATAGCATGTATAGACAGCTTGTACAGTTATCAAATATCAAAAAGCCCTTTTAAGCTGTAAGGTTCCCTGAGTGTTGACGGAGTCCTGCAGAATGACTCTCTCTCCCATCTCAGACATTATCAAGATTCAGTCTAATAAGGTTAATTGAGATGACACGATGTAACTGGCAACTGTTCGTAACCTGGTGTCTCTGCTGATTATGCTGAAACAAATTCTTGTAATGGGAATGCAGTGCGTCTCCATCTCAGCAGCACAGCAAACATATCATGGATCCTAGAGGCTGGGAAAGTGAAACGTACTAAGATTTTTGTTAAAACAAGAGATCAGGAAAGGAAATTATCCGTTCACTCCTTGCCCCACATTATGCTCAGGCTTCAGACCATTTATAGGTGCGGCTGAGATATGCTAATAATAGCTACTGCAAGAGTAGATTCTGTTGATAACGTTTCCTGTATTTAGTTGTTCTAAGAGCACACAGTCTGCGTTGGGTCAAAAACTTTCAACATCCAAGCGGCGTATTTTAACGGGTGGAAGGTTGCTTTTCTCATGCCCGTTTTCCGAGTGCATAACAACTTGCAGGACTTGAAAAATACAAATTCAGAGTTCCAATATCAAGTTCATTCGAAAACGAAAGGGCATTTGCTGGGGCGGGAGACCCTTTTTTATGTAGCTCAATCCCCACCGAAAGAAATCCCCCATGCCACAATGTGATTAGTTTCGATCTACTTTACTATACAATCAAGGAGGTCAGATAAAACATTCCCTCTGATAGCACCCTCAACCAACACAATAAATAACACATGGAGAAGTAAATGGAGGGGAGAGCAAGGAATGAGAGAGGAGCCATATCCCAGCAAACTGAAACATTGCAAATCCAAATCCTAGCAGATAGCACAGTTACTGTCAAAGCTCTTGGTGAGAGCTTTTATACCAAAACAAGACCAGTGTATCGATGTTCATTACAAACAATCCTAAGAACCTATTGCCACCTACATCCACTAGATAGATTATCTTTCCATCAGCATTTAATTACTTGTTTTCATAGCACCACCAGTTTGGTGCAGCATAGCATCGATCTCATCCCCATCTTCCATGTCCAGCTGCATAAAGAAAAAGATGAAAATCAATATATGCATTAACTTGCTGTCTATAATCCATGCTTTTATTTATCGATGCATGAGTGACTGTGTGCATGCACAAGCATGGAGAGAGATACCTCATCAGGAGTTTGCTCTCCACGGAGACGACGACCATCAAACAAGAAGGCAATTGAGTTGAACTCAACAGATTGGCGATCACAATAGGCATTCATCAGCTTCTTCAATTGTGTGCTTCTTTTGATCCTGAAAAATACTTCATTTCCATCCTACAATCATAGTAAAAAAAGACTTCAACCAGCATGTTCTTGAAAATAGGAGTCTTATAACATCCATACAGATAACATACTTCTAACAACTCATATCTTCAAAAAAAGACAACTATGAACGACCCCAGGATGAAAATTCAATTAAAGACGCAACTTGAAACTTGTAATTCAGCATTTTGAAGGGTTCAGCAACAAAGTTCCTCAATCTACAAAAATAACCACGATTCAAAGGGGCAATGACCCAGATACACAAGATGAGCAACTACTAAAAGCATAACTTTCTCAAATTCTTCCACTCGTCTTTGACACTCGCATGGATTTTCTCTAACACAATTTCTGTTCACATAAGACTAATTGCACTCTTATTCTTATCCAAACCGTTTTAACCCCTGCCAAACTGTCTTAAAGAAGCCAAAATAACAGTGGCAAGACGTCGTGCAGTCTCATCGGAGTTTTCCCTAAACATAACCCATTTTTAATCAAGAACTCAAAATATGACAAAGAAGCAGATCACTTAATAAAAACTGAAATAATTTATACCACAAAGAGATTGTGAAGATCACTATCATTCTCCAAACACTACACAAGTACTGAAAACCCACGACCCCTTTATTTTCATGGACACAATAGACACATTCACAAACCAATTAACCCATATGAGTTTTGCAGTAGCAAAAAGCCGCAAAAAAAATTCCAAAACCATAAATAAATAACAGAAACCCCAAACAAAACACTGTCAAACAACCTAAGCGCAAAGCAAAAACCTAACAGATCGATAAAAACATTGCGAGAGAAAAACTAAAACCACAAATATGGAAAGATTAAAAGGAAACAAACCCCATAACAAAGAAAAATCACAACATCAACCAAACACAAAAAGATACCTGGCCTTTCACTTTTAGGTTGATGTGAGCAGACTGATCGTTGGGCTTCTTATCTTCCTCTTGCGGCTGACCAGTCACCCCAGACATTTTCTCTTCTCCCTCTCGCTCTCTTCTTTTTCTTCGAGTAGGAAAAGACAAGAAATCAGGGTTTCTTTTCCTCACCTTCGCTGCGACTGCATTAGTGTTTGTAATATTTATTTATTTATGTTCACTTTATTATATTCTGCTCCAGACGACTTTCTCTGAAACTCAGTGGTCAATTCTTTCAGAATACGTGTCGATGGATGATTGCTTTGGTGTTCTGATTTTGTTAATTCTTTATGATAAGTTCGGATTCTGTCCAGTAAGGAATGGAATTGTGGAAGGACTGGGTAGATTAGAGTACACCTGATAACCACGGTAATTTACCAAGGGATATTGGTTAGAGGCCCATTAGGTAATGGACAGAGCTGTGAGGCCCATTGTTGGTGACTGCTGGTGACTGGTGAGCGTGCCCAATTACTGAATCCGTACGTACTCTACATTAGATATGTTACTTAGCGTTCGATTAATATCAAGATAATGAAGGTACAAATATACTTACTTGAAAAGATAAAAATAAATTTATTTTTAAAATAAATTTTTATATTTTAAAAATAAAAGATATAAAAAGAACACATTAGATAATATATATATTTTTTATTTTTTATTTTTTTTGTAAAAACTCTAAATTTCAAAATTATTCAACTAAAACATTTAAAAATAAAAATATTTATTATCAAAGTTTTAAAAATTAACTTAGGGATTGAGCTAAGATAAAATTCAGGTTATGGGACAGGTTGATCCAAGTTAATATAGAAATAAAAATGATTATTATTATATTTTTAAAATCTGATTTAATAGATGACTAGGAGAAAGGCTCAAGTCATGTGTTGGAAGGGTCAACCCATGTTGACTCATGTTAATATAAAAATAAAAATAATAATTATTATAATTTTAAAACTTAGTTTAAGAGCCAACCCTAGAAAATGCTATGATCATGGTTTAGAGGAAGTCGAGTTGACTTAGGCCAATTAAGAATAAAAGTTGTTATTATTATAGTTTTAAAATTTGAATAGGAGGTTGACCAGGGCAAGGCTCGAGTCATGAGATGAGATGATCAATTTGGGTTAACATGAGTCAATGCATAGATAAAAGTGATTATTATTATAATTTTAAAACTAGATTTTAAAGTAAATTAGAGATATGGTTCATTTTATGGATCAAGAGGGTCAATTTGGTTGACAGAAAAAAAAAAAAACATAAAAATAATATAAGCAATCTTGTTTTGGCCAAAAGAAATTTTCAAAAAACATCAACGGGTTTTTCAACCAGGTGAAAGGCTAAGATCACAGATTAGAGGAACCCGAGCTGACTCAGGCAAAAAAAGAATAAAAGTTGTTATTAATATATTTTTAAAACCCAACTCAGGAGTTGACTAAGGCAAAGCTCGGGTTATGAGACGAGATGATCAATTCAGGTTGAGTTGAGTAAATATATAAATAAAAATAATTATTATTATAGTTTTAAAATTAGATTTAAAAATGAATTGAATGCAATGTTCACTTTATGGATCAAAAGGGTCAACTTGGTTGACAAAAAAATAAAATAAAAATAATTTAAGTAATTTTGTTTTCACCAAAAGAAATTTTCAATAAAAAATCAACATGTTTTTGGCCTATATTTTATACTAGATTAACCCAGGATTTTGACTAGTTCAGGTTGAGTTAATCTTTCTCTATTTTTTCTTAAACTTTAACGAATTCAGATCCTAGGCCGACTCATTTCCAAGTCAACCAATCAAGTCAGTCATGATTTTATAACCACGATTATTATAATATTATTAATTTTAAAACTCAATATAAACTAATGTAAGAAAAATAATATCTATTTTTTTTAATATGTAAATCTGATAATAATACATATTAAAAGAAGAATAGAGCTTTTCATATTTCATTGAGTTTTTTATATTTTATCATGTCTTGTCCATGAAAATCAAACAAGGTAGAGAGATAATCACTTTGTCTTGTACACGACTATCAAACACAATTCTGTCTTTGGCTTTTTTTTATTGTCGTGTTTTCTCTGTTTTTTTTTGTCTCATAACAATAACCAAAAACACTATTTAAATGAATAAATAGTAAATGCAAAGTTAGTTCATGTTTTCTTTTCTTAAGAAATTGATACTTTAATCTCTCTAGTTTGGAGAATTATAAGTTAGTTTTTTGACAAATTTTAACTATCAACTCGCTAATAGATTATTACCATTTTAATTTGATGTGGAAAAGCTTAAATTAGTATTGCAATATTGAAAATTAAAAAAACAACTAAGTTATAAACAAATATAAAAAATATAAGGATTGAAAATAAAATTTTTTAACTAAAGAGACTAAAATTTTATTTTTAAAAAATATAAAAACAAAGTTATAATTCACTTATATCTTGAATACTAATTGCATTCAACTATAATCATATCTTTGATCATTATAAGTCTTTGTTAAAAACCTTTTATTGTCTTAATTAAGAGAGATCTAATAGGTTTTGTAACATAATAGAGGATCAACCCTCCCTTTATAAATACTTAATAATCAATTTTAAGGATGCAATCACACATATAT